AAAATGCCTAATTACATTGATTGATTAATTTGGTATAAATTAATTTTGGAAATGAGGAATTGAATTGAGAATATTGGAAGGGAAGGGATTAAAGGTGTAGTGATTATTTATTCACTCACCAAGTTGGGAATGTTGATTATAATCCATTGTTGCATTATTTTCTATATACGAATAATGTTTGGCAATCGGTGGAGATGTCGTATTGTTTGTCGATAATGCTGATGAATTAGGCAAATGAACTAATCACTGGAATGTGTCATTGAGATTGAAAGATTGAAAGGATACATAAATTTTATGTATTGTGTGTGATGTGTATAATATGTTGTTATATGCATTGGTGTTGTGTTGGAGGAGATAACATTTAGATCACATCTTTTAAGTATGATTAATTACTAATAAAACCTGTGATAATAAACATTTAGACCACACATTTTAAGTGTGATTAATACCTACAGTGATCGCAGCTCAATCTATATTCAATTTGACATGAATTCTGGAAGTTCTGGGATAGACCTACCATTTCATTCATGTATGTTTTTACACTGCTTGTATACAGGTATGTATGCTTTTACACTATTTGTATATACACATACGTAGAAACCACATATATGGAAAATTGCTTTGTGGAATGATAAATGCTTGGACTGCATATTATAATCTGAGGGCAGCCACTTCACGCAAACAATGCCAAAGGTTGGGTTTGATACATAGCTTGTCCATTCTTCCCACCACCCTTGAATGTACACTAATATAGGCTATTAGCATTTTCTACATATTATATGTACATGTTTTGAAAGAAGAAAAAAATAGTCAGATATTTATTTCAAACCAGAAAGTACAATATATCACTAAAAAAGTCACACATCTGTACATAGTTGATGACAAATAAGCAAAGAAAGTGCCTTACTTGTTTGAGTGTATGCTGAGCAAGATCAGTTGATATCATCACTCCAGCAGCAAAGGAACCCAGCTCTAAGCGTAGACCAAGCTTATCACTACACTGAAATTACACAAACAATTAAAACAGAGATGCTTGAAATTCATACATGCAAACTTCGTACATACAAATGTAAAAAAAAAATAAAAATCGAAAGAAAATTATTAAGCCAAAAAAAGAGTTCCACCATGATAGTATGCAAATAAGTTGGTATGATATGTAAGCATAACAATATGGACGTAAAGATCTAGAGAGATTAGGAAAAAAACAAGCCCATGCTACAAGTAGGCAGAATGCAACTGCTGCCAATTGATACAGTTCATTGGTCTGCAAGGGTAACAAACAGATCAAAGTAAATCAATTAGTGATCTTGCACGTTCAAACACACTGAGAGAGAGAGAGAGAGAGATCTGTTGACTACAGAATATGCATACATGTGATGATAGGCTTATCATAAGTTCAAAAATATATATATATATATATATCTAGTAAGGGACTGCTATAAGCAGTAGCCAGGACAACCACCACTAGCCTCAAAAATAAATTAGCAGCAGCTCTTAATCAAAAACATTTAATCAGCAGTGGTCAGATAGAAACATAGATAACCTCCAGCAATTAGTTCTGGCAGTTAGATAAGAGTTGGTGCTAATTTTTACCAATTAAATTATGGTGACCAACAACAACCGCCATTAATCTTAAACAACTAATTATCTGCATTCAAACAAGAACCGTTAGAATTGTGAACTGCTACTTTTTATCATGTTTCTATGTAAGAAACGTGAAGATAAATAGTGGTTGATGAACAATACCGGCACTAATTCTGGTGAGAACATTACATGTGCTATAATGGGTATATTTTTTTTACCATATGAGATTCATTGACATGCTATATGTTGAAGAATATTTGGGCTGCCATTTTGGGAATTGTTAGATGTATGTCATTACCGGTGAAGTGTCTTTATTATGTCCTTTCACAGATTTTTTTCTGTAGTTCAATGTTTCTTTCAGCATTAATTATATTTCAATTGATGCTTTACTTGTTTAATTTGGCGACTCTCTAATAGCTTTGTGCTTTTAGGCAATCGACCAAACAAGGTTGAGGTTTCTTTTTTAGAAGGAGCTTCAGACAAGTGATGTAGGCTCCCTCAGGAGAATGATAGTCCCAAAGGTTTGTAATTTATCTTTTCTAATATGAAATTATATTATTAAGCCCATTGGTAGCATAGAGAATCACTTGAATTGCAATTTCCATTGTAGTTTTCAATTTATTAATATTTCATGATGCAATTTGTCATGTAAACATATTAGCTTGGTGCTGAACTAATTATCTACTGCTAATTCCTTTTGGTATATGGGACAACTTGATTTCAGAAAGCAGCTGAAGATTACCTTCCCATCCTACAGGAGAAGGAAGCATTTGTTATCAGCATGGATGATACGGATGGCCTGTATGCTTGGAGTTTCAAATTCAGGTTTGAGTTTAATTGGTTTGTTTTGATCATTGGAAGCTAGCTGTGAGGATGGCTGGTATTAGGGAATTGTTATCAAACAACTTGTTCTAAAGCATTCTTACCCTCATTAAAACTTAGTTTAGTTTAAACAAAACTTGATTGATTTAATACAATGATGAAGTGTTGGCTTTAAAAACCTAGCTATGGTGTTCCGGAGGAGACATCTCCAATAGCTTGCGGGGCCATCCCAAATAACAGACCTGAGTTTGAACCCTAAAAAAAAAAAGAAAAAAGTCCTGAGTTCAAGCCCTGTTATATAGTGTGATGTTGTTGCTAGTTTTTTTAATTTTAAATCCTAGCTATGTTGATGTTAAATCCAGGTGATACTCATCTTCTTATGAATAGAATCTTTATTTCTAACAAGCCAAAGTGTGAAAGAATATTTGGATGTAAGATTAGTATCTAGTCCATTGCATATGCAAGCAACTCGCTTTTGAGATTTAGTTCTTTCTTCTCTTTCTTTTTGTATTCTCACCAAATCATTTGATTAAACTGACAGTAAGTGGTATCTCCTACCACTACCAAAGAAAGATGCCTAGGTTTCAATACCAGCTGTGACATGCTCATGTGTTTGTGTGTGTTACTTATCTCCACAACAAAAAGATAGATTAAAATAGAGTAATATAAATATTTACACTGTAGCAACAAATACTAGTGGTCCAAGGCAAACCTGCGAAGATCCCACACCATAAGCCTCCTCCCAAGACAACAAGAAGCTAATATGGTCTCATTCTATGGATTTCATCCAACTTGAAAAACCTCCTCCCTGTCGTAAAAAAATAAAAATTGAGTTCCACATGGTACATATTAATACATGCTTTCACGGACGCACAAACAGTTAAAGAAACCTAATATAGTCTTAATAACAAAAACAAAGAAATAATTAAATCTACAAGAGCTCCAAAGGAATGACATGTCTTACAAAGTTGTCAAGTTACTTAGTTTCCCGAGTTCAGGAGGAACACTGCCAGAAAATTGATTTGCTTCAAGACTCCTGGATCAAAATATCCATTGAGATTGGTAAAAGAAAAAAAATTATAATAAATAAATAAAATCACTACTACAGTTTCTTAAAAATGTGTGAGCAAAAATGATGCCACTATTGTTGGGATGTAAATATATACCATGTTGTTGAGATTAAGAAAAATAAAAACACATAAAAATTACATCTGATGACCTATAATAAACAAAAATTAAAGCTCCATTATATATTTGCTCCCGGGACAACCTCTCGGTGAAGATTGATTTTTTTTATTTGAATCCAAATTATGCACCATATTATATTTTATAGGTACATGATTCAACAAACCCTCCAATAATTAACAACTAACAACTTACTAATCTCTAATTATAGATAATTCTTTGAGAAACCAACTTTAACAGGGTAGATAAAGTTTTAATTGCCTAATATTTAACAAAATCTTCTGGAAAGTCCAGGCCATTCAAGGCAAGGCAACAAGGGACTAGAATGCTTTTGTCTAGTCTAAGTTCTGATATAGCATTATACATCCTCATGGACCAATTGACAATGTGTAAATTACAGCTACAAACGTATGTGAAACCACGCAACCCAAGAATTTATACATCTTAATGATTTTGATTCTCACAGTGCTAGGAACATGAACACACCTATCAGGGTAAGTATAAAGAGGGAAGAAAACAAATATAAACATAATACATGAATTGCTTTAAACATAATACAAATATAAACAAATATTTTTTTACAAATATAACCATCCTCGACTCTTTCAAACATTTCATCATATACCCGGCTTGCAATTTCAATTCGACCCTCTTTTACAAGCGCATTAAGCAAAGAATTGCAAGCAAGAACACTTGGAACAGAATTAGAAGTACTAAGCACAATAGTATAAATTTCAAGGGCTTTATCGACTAACCCAGAATCCGAATACGCTCGAATTACAGCATCCAAAGCTTCCCGAGTCGGTAACTTGTCTTCAACTTTCATACTCTCCAACACAGTCTCAATCTCTGAAAACACTCTAGAGCTGGCCAAGAGCTTAAGAAGAAAAGAATAAGCAAACCCATCAAGAGAACAACCGTATGGGCGTTGAGTGACCCAATCAAAGAACTTCAAACCCAATTCGGGATCGCGAATACGGTCGAGCACCAAATGGGCAATGTCAGATGGGACGATTTCTTCTTTGGAGAGGCGGGTTTCGAGGGTGTCTTGCCATTGATTGTGGTGGTGGGTTTTGAGGATGTCACAGAGTTCGTTGACGAGTCGCTTGATCAAGGGTTTGAAGGAGAAGGAAGGGGAAGAACTGGGTTTGGGGTTGTGATGAGGTTTGATGCGGGAGAGAAGGGTTTTCGACATGAGAGAGAAAATGAGGTTTGGGGAGTCATCTGCTACTTCGAAAGTCTTGTTCCTTTCATTGTTCGACACTTGCAAGTTGCAACAGTAGTACATGCATACAACTAATAAGGAGTGCGACGGTGGTTCAAATTTCATTTCCCCCCTCCATCTTTCAAATTTCCCCCCAAACTTTTGGCGACCAAAAGATTAAATTAGTCGCAAAAACAGGTTCTTTCGCCGACAAATTTTTTTAGTCGCCAAATCTCAATCAACAGCGACTAAAATATTAGTCGCTAAAAGTACTAATTTGGCGACTAATTTTTTTTGGTTGCTGAAAATAAGTTTTTCGCGACCAAATTTTTGGTCGCCAAAAAATATGTGACCTTACGCGACCAAATTTTTTTGGTCGGCAAAAGTGGTCGCAAAATGTGTAAATTCTTGTAGTGCTAATAAGAAGACTTTTAGGGACAAAATAATTTGGTCTTAAAATAGTTTATTTTTTTAGACAAAAAATTGGTCCAAAAAGGATAATAATTCATCACAAATGTTCAATTTTTGTAAAAATATAATGACACTTTTCATAATAAAAATATTTTATCCTTAAAATATAATTTTATTTCTAAATTTTGATTTTTAAAATCTTAATTTTTTTGTAGTGATATGACCAAAATAAATTTTTACATTGATAATCTAGCAGGCCCCATTGAGAGACAGATGTTGCTATGCTTTTTTTGTTTTTTCTTTGGGTATCAACAAAGCAAAAATTGCAAATTACTTCTCAACCATCTGAGGAGTCATGAAAACCTTATTTCCCCACCAAACAAGGGTTGCTTTTTCTGTTACCCATGAAAACCTGGTCACTTGGAACTAGTTTTCATCATCCATTGGTTCCAAAAACACAAGCAAAGACCCATTTATATATACATTGAACACAAACAACAGCTAAAGCTACAGGGCTTGTTTGGTTTGTTTTTAGGAGAATTGTTTTTGAAAAAAATTTGGAAGAGTTGTTTTAGAAATTTTTTTGGTTTGTTTGGTTGTATATTTTGAGAGACAAATTTTTTTGGAGAGTTTGGGATGATTTGATATTTTGGGAGAATTGAGTAGATGTGTGTGAGAGAAAAAGTGATTGAGAAGTAGAGAGAAAAAGTAATTGATTGATGTGTAAGAGAGAGAAAGTGATTTTGAAATTTTTTTGAGAAAATTCTCAAACCAAACAAATTTTGAGAATTTTTTTTCTAAAACTCATTTCCCAAACTCAAACCAAACATACTCACAGTGTTTCTCTAAACCCTAACAATAGGGATGGCAATTTGAACCCAGCTTGATAGGAACTCGACCTCCCGACCCCGATTTAAGCAGTTTTTTTTTCAAAAAATATCCCCAACGGAACGGGGATGATATTCAAAAATCAATCCCCGATCAATTTCGGGCCAGGGACGGGGATATGTGTTCTAGCCCTATTCTCGGCCGGGCCCGGGCCTCGTCTCCGTTCCCGTTTATCCCTGAAGTAAAATTACAATTTTACCCTTATATATATATATAAACCAAACCTCATCTCACTTTCACTTCTCTCTCTTTTAATCTCACGCGTGTCTCAGTTCTCTCTCCCTCACTCACGTCTCTCATCTTTCTCTCCCTCACTCATTGACTCAGATCTCTTTGAGTGTCACTGCTTCTCTTCCTCACTCACTTACTCACGCAGATCTCTTTCATCTCTCTCATTCTCTCACTTCTTATCATTATCAACTTCATCCAGATCCACCACTACCACCGATCTGAACAAACGTGAAGCCCTCTATTACTACCGATCTGAACAGGACTAGGACCAGGACCGTGACCGTGAAGCCAGGACCATGACTAGGACCGTGAAGCCACCGATTTGAACAGATCGTGGTCCGATCGATGTCTTGATCAACGGACAGATCATGAAGGCCCTCTCTCTCTCTCTCTCTCTATATATATATATATATATGTTGTTAATTTATGAACAATTTTTTTTTCTTTTCAAGTTGTTAGATATATTATATCTGTTGTTGTTGATGAACAATATTATATCTGTTGTGTGCATGTGTTGAACAGATCTGTCGTGCATTATACATACAAATTAATTTTTTTTTTGTTCTTGTGTTTGTGTGTGTGTTGAACATATTTGTCGGGGATTTTTCGAGGTCGAAGAAACCCGATCCCCGTTAGGGGACGAGGACGGGGGAGTTAATGGGTTCCCCGCTAAGGATCGGGGGCAGGGACGGGGACTGGGATTTTTTTACTGTCGAGGATCGGGGATGGGAAGTGTCATCCCCGGCCCCGACCTGTTGCCATTCCGACCTAGCAATGGTAGATCATGAAATCACATTCATATGCAAGCTATGAAGTAGGGATGGCAACGGGCTGGGGCGGGGCCGGGGATCACACTTCTCGTCCCCGATACCCGATGGTGAAAATTCTCTCGTTCCCGACCCAGATCCCTAACGGGGAACCTATCACCGCCCCCGCCTCCGCTTTCTAACGGGGATCGAGTTTCCCCGACCCCAAAAATTCCCCGACAACCAAAAAAAAAAAAACAGTGGAAATCAAAGAATTAATCACCTACAGATCCTTGAACAACCAAAGCAACTGCAATGGTGAACATTCTCACCATAGAACAAACCAGTTGCAGAGCCAACCCCATTTTCCATATACTATCAAAAATCAATACTCCCCCAAACCCAACCTACTCAATGATGAACAAAGAATAAAACAGTAATAAAAAAAATGAAATCTTTTTATTAAATAAAATAATGAACAGTAATAATGGGATATCAACAACAAAAACAAAAACAAAAACAGATCTATAGAAGAGAAAGTTTGAACTGGATTGATTGTGTGTGGATTTATAAGTATTATATGTATTTATACAAAGAGATCTTCAAATTTCAACGTAGATCCAATGATAAAAGTCGTGAAAGAGATGTTACAATTAACAACGAGCGAAGGTGAGACTGCACCTACGGTGGCGACATGGATGGGCATTGGTGCTTTGTTCGGATCCGCACTGGTCTCACTATTTTGCATCGATGAAACCTGATTTGGGATCTACATTGGTCTGTGATTGTGGTTTCAACGAGAGAGAGAGAGAGAGAGAGAGAGAGAGAGAGAGAGAGAGTAAATAGATGCAATAGTAAAAACTAGACAGCTATGAAAACCAAAACCAACCTCATTTTAGGAAGGAATGAGGGAGATTGGGGGAAGGGAGATCGGCGTGATGGGAGGGTTTTAGAGAGAGGGAGAGAGAGAGAGGTGAGAGACATAGATGGTGAGGCTCTGTGTGTAAGGTTGTGTTATGTTAGGGTTTGGTTTATATATACATATATATATAGGTATAATAGTAATTTCAGTTTAGGGAATGCGGTCGGGGTTGGGGCTGGGGAACGTATCACCGTCCTCGGCCCGAACATTATCGGGGATGCATTTTCGAATACCATCTCCGGACCGTTGGGGGTATTTTTTGAGAAAAAACCGTTCTAATTAGAATCGGGGGGCTAGATCCTCGTCGGGCCAGATTAAAATTGTCATCCCTATTATGAAGCATGGGTACGGGTATGAGTACTGATACTAGTACAATGTGCCTGTTTGGTGCAGCTTAAAAGCTGCTTATTTTAGCTTTCAGCTTAATTTAAGCTATTTTGATGTGTTTGGTTTAGCTTATAGCTTATAGCTTTTTGGAAGTCAGAAATCAGCTTATTCTTTGAGTGGGGCAGGAGATGCTTAATTTATAAGTCAGAAATCAGCTTATATTCATAGTTATAGGCTATAAGTTGTTTAGGCATAAGCTATAAGCACTTTCCCACAGCTCTACCAAATAGGGCCAATATGGGTACGTCAATACGGTAAAATTCTAAAAAAAATAGAGTAGGGGTATTGCTTGGTATGCTTATAAAAAAATATTTATTTTTAATTTAGAATAACGCAAAAAGTAATTAAATGATTTAATTTGTTAAGTTTCAACCTACAATTAACATTTAATGTTATAAATCAAAATTAAATGTCAATATATTAAATAACTTACAAACCATAGTTTAATTTTAAAATCATGCTAAGTATAAAACAAACAATAAAAAAGAAATCTAGTGAAAGGAGTTTTATCTCTGTAGTAGAAAAAAATATTGTTTCAACTAAGGTATGGTATGGTTTGAGTATATATTAGGTACGTCTGGATACACCAAAAATTAAGAAGAAAAAACTTAGGTACATGTTTCATGTACCCGGTACGTATGCAGAAGTACCATACGAAATACCATACACCGGTAAGTACCCGGTACGGGTACGACATGTTTTTCAAAGTACCTATGCCTCATAGTATTCAAACGAACCGTGGTCAGCAAGATGGCAGTACAACCCGGGAAATTCTACAACCTATCGATCCTAGACCTGGTGATGGAATGCAACCACATCTGAATGGTGTACTATTATAGGGATCCAAAGGAGAAGGAAGTTGGAGAGTTGACAAAGAAGCTCAGAGAATCTCTCTCTAAAATGCTTCGTAGTTTTCCGATGGTGACCGGCCGATTGTTGAAGAATGATGAGGGGAAATAGATGGTGAAGTGTAACAATGCCAGAGTGAGAATGGTAGAGGCTAGGATTAAGGGAAACTTGGAAGGGTGGTTGGGGAGGGTGGATAGAGAGAAGGAACTTAAGCTTGTTCATTGGGAGGACATGTATCACAAGCCTTATTTTTGGTCTACCTTTTACATTCAGGTAAATTTTTGTAGATTTTGTCTCATTTGTGATTGAATTCTATGCGTTTAAAATTTTTCTTAAATTTGTTAAAGTTGGAGAAATTCTAATAGTCTATCCAAAATTTAAAAAATTAAGATTGTGCCAACCTCAAAAATTACTATTCACTCTTTCATTTGTTTTGTAGTGAGAAAATGAATCACCTCATCCTCTTTTTCCATAGAGACCTTCCATTCTTTGTTGATTGGGTAAGATTTTTTTCAATTTCTCGGTTAAAGTTGAAACTTCATAGTGAAAGTCCAGAAACATAAAAATCAATTACAAAATTTATATGAATGGATAAATTTTTTCAAAAATAGTAAAATCTTATCCATTTATGTGTATTGTATGTTCCATTATGTGTAATTTTAAATTTAGTGAATCCATATTTATTCACAACTATGTTTTTAAATTAAATTATATATTACATTGTCATGTAATGTGTGTGGTAAAATTTTCAGAATTGCATGTAGATTCAACTTGCCCAAGTCTTATTTTTTGCAATTTTACTAATGTCTAATGTTTGTTTGTCGTTCATTTTTTTACTGAATGTATTGGTTCTTATATGATAAACAAATCTCTTCTTTCCATTAAAAAATA